TCTTGTTTTTCATCAAGCAGGTATTGCTGACGCACGCATTTGGCTTGAGCTCGTCAGCAATCTCCGGCCAAGCAGACACCGGGACTTCAACAAACTTCGTCACGAGCCACGGCAGGCAAGGATTCCCGTCATGGCCTACCGTTGAAAATAACCAATGGAAAGATCGGAAGCTTGGAACCATGGGATTCCTCAGCCGCGGCATAAACCTGGATCCAGCAACGCCGTCCTTCAGTGGGCACAGCAGCCACGCTAGGAGCAAGTCGACTGAAATGCCACTCTTGTTTTTCATCGAGCAGGTTAGTAGCCGAGAATATGGTAGCTGCTATAGAAGCGACAACAGGTTTCTATTCCTGGTGCTGTGCCCCAAAGTGTCTTGTTTTGTTGTGTACTATTTTCAAAAAGTGATGTTGCTAATACTTTCTGGGGATGTGGAGACGAGCCCCGGCCCCGATCTCGAAAAAAATGATGAAAGAACTACTCGAAAGCCAAAAGCGAATGAGCGATGACGTGAAAGACATTAAGGATAACCAAACAAAACTCCAGGCAAGTTTTGATGGGATGAACAAAAGAATCGATGATATAGAAACCAAATTGGATAAGGTACAAAAAAACGAAGAAAACATTTGGAACTTGGATACTACGGTAAAGCAACTACAAGGAACTGTGAAACTTCAGCAAAAAGCACTGGTGAATATGGAGGATAGGTCTAGGAAAAATAACTTGATTGTGTTTGGGATTCTTGAGCCAGAAAAAAAGACCAGCGACGACGTTCGATCCGCGGTGGTTAAAGACCTTTTTCATGCCCGCCTCGGTTTAAAAATAGAGACAGTGGAGCGAATTCATAGGCTAGGGAAAAAACGTGAAAAACACACCCGACCTATAATAATGAACTTTCGGGACTACAACGAAAAAATACGGGTATTTCAGAACTGCAACAAATTAAAAGGTACCAAAATCTCTGTTCAAAACGATTACTCGCAGGCGACGTTAAGTAGACGCAAAATGCTTTGGGAAGGCACGAGCACAGAAAGAAACAACGGTTCCCAAGTTAAACTTTTTGACGACAATATATTCAAATCGATAACGACTTTTTCGTATGGGATGACAACACCGCCAGCCGAACAAAGCTGAGAGATAAGGTACAAAGTCCGAATCAATGATGATTCGCGGGATACAAAAACAAAACCGCTCAGACTTATCAATATGAACGCCAGAAGTCTCGCCAAAAAAGTTAGCGAGTTAGAACACATACTAATGCTATATAATCCGCATGTTGTCGTTGTCACAGAAACGTGGCTTAACGCAGACATAAAAGACGAGGAAATACTACCACCTGCTTACAAGATGGTACGAAAAGACCGCCCAACGCGGGGGGGGGGGGGGGGGGGCGGAGGGGGGGAGGGGGGGGGAGGGGGGGGGGGCAGTGTTGCTGTAATTCTCAAAAAATCAAATGTGTGCCTTGTGATAAATGATCTTCCAGATACCGAAAGTGTATGGTGCAAAATTACTTTTTGTGACAAATAGTATGTAATAGCAGCGGTCTACAGACCTCCTGATTCCCCACTGTCCACGATGGAAATAATTTACGATTTCACAATTGCTAACTTCATTAACGAAGGTAACTTTATTCTTGTGGGTGATTTTAATCTGGCCAAAATAGATTGGAGCAACCTTGAGGTAGGCAACGTGGACGTCAAATCAGCTGAATTTCTTCTTGGTATGATGTTTAACCTGCACCTAACGCAAGTCGTAAATGAGGCTACCCGAGTGGAAAAAACTGCAAGCTCCGTACTGGACCTAATATTTGTCGGTACAAATTTGAGTGACAATAGGGAGTTTTAGAATAACGTACGCAATTTTAGCGCACGCTAGCGCTAAATTTAGCGCTTGTATTAGCGCACGCGACGCGAAAGAGTTTTAGAATAGCGTTTCTCCGGTCGCGACGCAAAAGCCCAAGCATCTCGCGCTTGCGACGCCACCAAGACACAGTCACAATTTTTATTTCACACACTAAATGCTGTAACTTAAGAAAAAAAAAAGGTTTCTGGTCCAGAGTATTATTTTAGATTTATTTAAACGTGAGAATGCGACGCGAGCGGTTGACCGGTCGTGTCCGCTTGCGTCGCCTCGGCAAGAGAGGTCTCGAGCAGACATGTACATATTACTCAAAAAAGGTATTTAAGTTAAGTTACTGAGTATCGACGCCGAACGTAATTGGAATAGAGTAGAAATTACGCATTTGTAATAGTAATTGAGTAAAATACTAACTACTGTAAAAAGTAGCAAGTTACTTTGAAGTTACTTTCGAAGTTACTTTTTTATATTTTTGTGGTGGCGAAATGAACATCAATCTAGATCCGTGAAAAACCCAGCGAGCCTAAAATAAATGCAGTCATTTAATGGCTTGCGTTTTCACCAGAATAGATTATTCGCCCCCAGAAGCAATATACCCGTTCCGAAATTCAGTGCCATCTGGTGGTACGTAAAGCAGTTTAGCTTTTCCCATATCAATGGCGGAAATGAACTTGTATCGGCACCGTCACTTTTGCAAGTCAACGGCACGCGAGGAATTCTTCAGTGTGAGTTCTTTCTCGATCACTTTCAGTTCGATGGTGACCAAGAACCTACATTCAGAACAAAGCTCCAACCCACTCAGATGACTTGGGAAAATTCTATACACCAAAATGCTTTAAAGCCAATTGTGTGCCACCTGCAGATTGACTTAATCTGAGTTATTAGAAATAAACGCTTACGTAGCTCTTATATTTCATTCCTACGTCGCGTCGTACTGACCCCCCGAATGTACAGGCCTCGCATCATCCGCTTAGAAGCATCTTCAACGTCTTCCTTTAGGAGTCGCTAGAAGGCCGCCATTGGTATGGCCTTTCCACAGATGATGATAGCGATCAAAGTGGCCAGACTGAATTTCGAAAAGAGTCTATTGACTTTCAAAGTTCATGATACGGGAGTTTTCCCCTTTTCCTCCTAAAGACGTCCCCAGCCAAGCTAAAATGCGTTCCATAGACGCGCTGGATGGAACGGCAGCGCTGAATTTGAGAAAGAGGCTGTGCAGGGTCGGGTAAGCGAGTGTCGAGCTTAGGTGTCCGGGACAAAACATGTGAGGTTTGCCTAGGCTAGAGTGTCTTTTATAAGAAAATCTCGTGCTTTTTCTTTTTTCTTCGGCAAGTTGAGATTGTTATGAATGTCCCCTCTTTATTCCACGACGTTCGGAGAGTACTCTGAGCGAGTGCATCTGACCGTCAAGGGTTCAAGTCTCGCGCCACGACGGTGAGATCATTCGGACGACTGTGCAGTGCTACGCTACTGGAAAAAAAAAATGCTTTGGTTCAACAGAAGATGAAAGGAAGTATATTACGCCGCTGATGTCGGGTAGAGCAAAAGGATCTCCCAAGGGTGACTCGCAATCCTCGCCGGCGACTACGGTATCTTGACGCGCCTGACACGCCTGACAAGACGTGTCAGGCGAAACATGGGCGAAGTCACAAAGTCTAATAGTTGAGCATTGCGGCGCGGTGTTCGACGTGCCCATCCAACCAACAGATATCGAGCGAGCCCACAGGATTGAAACCCTCCAGTCTAACAATAATAGGCCTATTATTATAAAATTTGCACATTTCAAAATTAAAGAGCAAGTTCTTTCATTTGCTAAGAAGCTTAAGGGTACCAGCTACAGTATCTCCGAAGACTACTCGCCAAATACACGCACTGTTCGAAAGCATTCGCTTGAATTTGGTAAAAACCAACGAAGTCTCTTCAAGCTCCGTCATGATAAACTTATAATTAACAACACGACTTGCGTATTCGATCACGCTACGCAAAAGCTTATTCCACGTCCCTCATAGCTATCAACAATCTTTTCTGCGAGTTCAAACAACAGCTGCTTATCTCTCATTTATGCAGACATTAGAAGTATTCTGCCCAAACGAGAATCACTTCGCAGTCTCATTGATACCACTGAGTGTAATATTGTCGTGCTCACCGAAAAGTGGTTAAATTCATCTATTTGTGATACAGAATTGTTATCTTCTTTTCCTAACTTTGATATCTTTCGTCGCGATCGTGCGAACAAACGCGGCGGAGGCGTTTTGTTGGCTGCTCATCGCAACCCGCAATGCGTTGCTATTAGCACCCCCTCCCCTTTAGAAATCATGTTTATATCCTGTAATGCTTCCTACCCACCCATCATTATTGGTGCTTCTTACCGCCCACCAGATGCCGATTCTTTTTTCATTGCTGAATTTCATGAAGCCCTTCGATGGATAACTACGTCATATCAGCACGCTCCCATTCTTCTGCTCGGTGACTTTAACTTTCCTGCGATAACCTGGGTGGACCTGGCACATACTACATCCAAACACAACACAGAAAGCGACTTCGTTAACACGTGCCTTGCATTTGGTTTATCGCTGCTTGTTTCTTCCCCAACAGGTAAACTGATCATTCTTCTAACATCCTTGACCTTGTGCTTGCTTCGCACCCTGAAAACATGTCGCCAATTACATATTTACCCGATTTCAGAGATCACGTAAGGATACGCGCCACATTTCAGTGTCAACCTCCGCACCCCAAAAAAGTGAAGAAAACTTTAACACTCTATGATAAAGGTGACTACAAAAGCATGAACGAAGAACTAAACACTTTCTGCAGCGGGTTTCTCACTGACTTTGCAAAACGTTCTGTTGAAAAAAACTGGTTATTTTTAAAAAAAACAAAATGAAACATCTAATCACAACGTATATTCCCACTATCACTGTTATTGAACAAACAACAACTCCGTGGTTCAATAACGTGCTGAAACGTATCACCAACAAAAAAAGCGACAGTTTAGATCAGCTAAACTGTCGAACAGCACGCGGGCATGGGATAAATACAATGCTACCGAAAAAATGTTTAACTCTCTTGTTGCTCAAGCCAAACGCACGTTTTTTTCTTCTACTTTGCTTGCGATGTTGCATAGCAATCCCAAGCAATTTTGGAAAATGGTCAACCCCGGTCAATCAAAGCCCATATCATTATGTGATCAGAACAACTCGCCCATTCCCAAACATGACATTCCCCAAACATTGAACTCCTCCTTCTGTTTTGTTTTTACACAAGAACCAGCCGGCGATCTCCCTGAATTTCCTTATTCTGATCACCCGGCTATGCGAGACATAGTCTTTAATTCTAACGGAGTCCTAAAAGCAATCGAAGCTTTGAAACTAAGATCATCCGCAGGTGTTGACGGCATCAATTCAAAGATACTCAAAAACACAAAAAGTGCCACAAGCGTCCTTTTGTCACACATTTTTCAGCAATCTCTCTCATCTGGAGTTGTACCACTGGACTGGAAGGTGGGCAAGATCGTTCCTATACCAAAAAAAGGTCCACCAACCTCAAGCAGCAGTTATCGTCCTATTTCCATCACCAGTGTTTCATCAAAATTAATGAAGCATATAATTTACTCCCATGTTATAAATTTTTTAGTATCTGTCAATTTTTTTCATCCGAGCCAACATGGTTTCCTAAAAGGATTTTCTTGTGAAACCCAGCTTGCTCTTTTTACTAACGATCTAAGTTCAAGTGCTGATCATAACATACCTGTGGATGCCCTCTTTCTAGATTTCGAAAAAGCTTTCGATAAAGGTCCACACCAATGTCTATTATTAAAACTTTCGCGTTTAAACCTCGACCCTCAAGTCTGTAACTGGATTCGTAACTTCTTGTCAAACCGACAACAATTCGTTCATGCTAATAACCACTCTTTGCCCCGATCTCCGGTTGCTTCTGGAGTGCCCCAGGGCACTGTTCTCGGCCCCTACTTTTCTTAATTTACATAAATGACCTACCCGTTAATATTTCATCTAACATACGCTTATTCGCAGACGACTGCGTTGTTTATCGTCCTATAAACAACAGCACTGACGTTCACGCCCTGCAGTCTGATCTTCACCATATTGAAGCCTGGTGTGCTAGATGGCTAATGTCTTTGGATGCTAACAAAACATCCCTTGTTGCTTTTCATCGTAGGCAATTTTACCCATCTCCTAACTACGTCATTTGTGGTTCACTCATATCTCCTGTACCATCATATAAATACCTAGGCATTACCTTTTCAAACGATTTAACTTGGTCATCTCACATAACGAACATAGCTAATGACGCGAATCGCGTCCTTGGCTTTCTACGTCGCAACCTACGCTTAGCCCCTCCATCGGTAACGCTACTATCTTTTCACTCACTAGTCCGACCCAAACTACAATATGCATCTGCTGTTTGGGACCCACGACAATCTAATCTTGCTAAAACGCTCGAAGCCGTGCAAAATGGCGCGGCAAGATTCATCTACTCAGACTACTCTTATCATAGCAGTGTCACCGCACTTAAATCTCAAGCTAATCTTCACCTCGAATCACGGCGCAAAATTCCCAGGCTCTGCCTTTTTCACAAGTTTTATCACTCATCACTTGGCAGCTGTGTTATCGCACCAGCTCACCGCGTTTCATGCCGCATCAGTCATCAGGAAGCAGTCTACCCCCCCATGCCCGCTGCACTGCGCATCTTTTTTCATTTTTCTGCCAGACAGCAAAGGATTGGAACGATCTGCCCACCGACGCCGTGCTCCACTCCAACCCCGCCCATTTCAAGTTATTCATCGAAGAAATTTTTTGATGCTTCGTACTACCATCATGTAATACCCCGTATTTGGGGCATTTGAGGTTTAATAAATAAATAAATAAATAAATAAAACAAGTAAATCGTTTCTAACAAAGAGGAGGCCTTCTTAGCGTGGAAAGTCGGAAGGGCGCGTAGTCGAACTACGTGAACAAGCATCGTCGCTCGTACAGTTGCAGCTGGAAGCCGGAACGTGCTCTCATGAACGGATTATCCGTGTCTGCGTTTGTGCGCAGGGGAGTCGGGTTTCGCAAGGGAGCACGCGCTGACGACAAGGCGACCATGGGAACAGGCGCCCAGCTGCGAGGTCATGCCAGTGGCGCTCTCCGTGGAACCCCCAAACTGCTTGAGGCAGAGGTCACTAAAGGCAGACAACATGAAAACAACAATAATCCTGGGAGTGTCCCCGTCTTTCACGGTTGCAGCTGGAGGCGGGTGCCTGCGTGCATTACCGGATTAGGTCAATACCCGACCAAGGCTTGTTAAGCATCTTTGCCTGCGTTCGTGCGCGCAGGTGTTATGTTTTGGCTGCTCGTCACCACCTTGGCCCAAGGACGCCTTTGATGCAGTTTCTGGAACGAGAGGGGGCCCCTTGTTCCGGAATGCCACTTCATCTGCTGGCGTCTTATTTATTTCTGCGCTCAAACTTTTGTGATGAGCAAAATTAGCGGTAGATTTCGGAAGTAGTTAGTAGTTTGAGTTGAAGTTACATGAAAAATGTAGTTAAATTAAACTACTAATTACCGAAATAAAGTTGTAATTGAAAGTTACCAAGTTACTCGGAAAAGTAGTTAAACTACAGTAGTTTGAGTACAGTAGTTGAACTACGTCCAAGTCTGGTCTCGAGTACTGACCTTCGCACATCGTACCTTCGCCGAGAAATGTTCGCGCGTCACAAGCATCAAGCTGTCGGTGATCGTTGGCAAACCGAGTACAATGCCGTCCCGTATTCAAAATCGCAGCCGCGAGGATGCCGCCGACGTCGCACTCACGACGTCGCCAAAGCAGCCGCTGAAGTAATCCTGGAAGCCGCCATCTTTTTTCAACTCTGCTCGTCTTGGCTTTAGCCAACTTCTCATCACGAATCCACCTTGGAGAAGCGCAAAGAATCTTTGCGTACGCACGCTATTCCCGAGAAATAGCGCACGCTAAAATTGCGCACGCAAAGCGCAAAATCTGGTTTGCGTTCGGAGCATGCGCAGTGGCGACGACGCTATTCTTTGCGCACGCAAAGCTTTAGCGTGCGCTATTCTAAAACTCCCTACTGTTGTGTCTTTGCACGAGGGTATTTCAGACCATAAATTAGTCCTGATGACTTGCAATGTTGTATCATCAATGGCGGCCTCTAAGCGTCCGGTAGTTTATGCGCATGACTTTAACAGCGCCGACGACGTCGACAACTTGGATTATCTAGAATCATCGTTATCCAGATTCGATGACGCAAAGGACGTAGATGACCTGTGGTGCCGTTTTAAAGGAGCTGTGCAACAATTTCAGGGCTTTGCTTAAATAATTGTGGAAGTTGATGCCTGGCACTTCTGCAGTGAACTACAGAAAACAGATTTTGCCGAGATACCCTAGTTTTTATTTTAAAAAAAAATAAAAAAAAATCCAGGTTTTTGCCGCCTCTCAACTCGTACATCGTCTTCCGGGTCACGTGCGCTGTGACGTCACTTGAGTAGGCGCGGGGTTCCGGAAAGGTTTTCTCTTCAGAGCCATCAGCGAGCAGCGAGAACTCATCCGCTCGCGACCGCGTGGCCGCGTGCTGGCGGGCGCCCCGCGAAATATACGGTGAAAGGAGGAAAGTCTCATCCGGGTCCGTCCATGCCCGTCCTTGCCCGTCCGGCGCTGTCCTCCTCCCCCTCCGGCTTCTGGCGGCTATTCGCGGTTTTGTGGACCTAGGATAGATGGCGCCACTAAAACTCCGTATAATAAAAGTTTTGTCGATGACACCAGGGTTTTGACGCATTTATATAGATGTTCGAACGACAAGATTTATAAAAAAGTTACCTTTTATCGAGCAGGTATTCGCACGACTTGCTATCTTTCTACAAGATTCCCCATTGACGTCACGCCACTTGTTTCTCATGGCCGCCGCTCGTTGCTGCAGGTCGGGAAATATTCCAAGTTTTGCCTCGCTATTACGCGGCGGAATCGCAACATTTCGATGAAAGGAGGTGTGTTTTCTGCCATTTGTGACACAGTGAACGATATCAAAAGCAGAAAATGACAATTCTTTCAACGTTAAAATCGTTGCTCAGCTCCTTTAAAGACATTATCAACCACTGCTTAGAACGATTTGTTCCTAAAAGGAAAAAAAACGCGTTTATAGGCAACGTCCGTGGATTACAAGGGACATTATTCAATTACAGCGTAGAATAAAAAGAAGGCGAAAACAAAAATGTACAAACCGAGGTGACGCTTCCCGTCTTTCAGATGAATTGAAATGCATATTAAATCGGTCTAAAAAGCATTATTTTACTTCCGTTTTACCACAGTTTCTGAGGACGGCACCACAGAAATTCTGGCGATACCTTGCACCTTCAAAGGGGAAAATAGAGTATATTACGGAAAATGGTAAAAAAATTTTAGACCCGAACAATATAGCCAGACGGTTCGACGAATATTTTGGCTCTGTATTTGTTGAAGCGAATATCACCGCGAATTTCAGCACGGTAGGTACAGACGCTCTTCGATCTATGCCGGACATCACTATTACCGAACAAGGAGTATTTTCACTATTACTAAATATTGATTCCAAAAAGTCACCTGGACCAGACAATATCTCCAATGAATTTTGAAAACGGTATGCACAGTGGACTTCTAAGTACTTACATTTATATTTCGGGTCCCTTTAGAACAACATTGCGTTTGCAGGGATTGGTTGTGTGTCAGGGTAGTTCCAGTTCACAAATCAGGAGATAAGCATAACGTAACAAACTACAGACCAATTTCATTAAGATGCACGTCCTGTAAGCTTTTTGAGCACATAATTTCCAGAAGCCTTTACGACTATTTCCAAAGTTCAAAAGTTTTTTTTATAAAAACCAACATGGGATTTCGACGAGGGTTGTCCGGGGTAACGCAGTTGCTCGAAACGTTTCATGATTTTTGGTGCTCGTCAAACGAAAGAGGGCAAATAGACGCGATTTGTCTGGACTTATCAAAAGCATTCGATCGGGTATCTCATGAAGGACTTATAAGAAAACTAACTAGTTACAGAGTTATTGATCACGTCACTCAGTGGATTAGCGCATACCTTAGGAATATGAGACAGTTTGTAGTTATTGATGGTGTTGCGTCGTCTGTCTGTAGGGTGCCGTCGGGAGTCCCCCAAGGGTCAGTTCTGGGACCAGTGTTATTTTTATGCTACGTCAACGATTTGGCGGAAAAAGTAAGCTCCAATATTACACTTAGGTTATTCGCAGACGACTGCCTGCTCTACACTAAAGTTCGTAGCCCTGTAGACCAAGAAAACTTAAACTTGTCGCTCGCCCATACCCAGGATTCGAGGACACGAGCGCGCCGACACTACTTGCGCCATCTATCGGCAGCGGTGGCGGGACGGCCCGTAACTCAATGGGACGAACTATATATTTTTTCTTTTACGAAATTCTAAGCGTTGCATTATTTTGCTCTCAGCGACCTTTTTTGATAGATACCCTTTTTGTTCATTGTGCTAAATTTAAGGACTGTATGTCTATGATAAATAGAGCCAACTGGCAATTGGAAAAAAAATGCATTATCCTTATGGGAGTACTGTGATTTACAAAGAAATATTTGAGTTCAAACTTGATTTACAAACTAACCACTGCGTATCGCGAGTTGCTCTCTACGGTTATATAAGCTCTAGTTCCCCAGCTACATCATGGTACTATTTTCTTTGCGATCCGTTAATTCTACGAAGTGCCCTCGTCATTAA